GGAGGCCTCTGGAGTGCTTGCCTGTGGGGAAGGGGCACCCCGCAGCAGTGGTGTGGCACCGGCTCTCGAAGGCTCCAGTACCAGTTCCCTGTGCCCCACTCGGTGGGGGGCTGCTCTGAATCTGGCTTCTGTCAGTCTGGCACTGAGCCGCTGCGCAGGGGGAGAGCAGCCGTGTCCCTCACCCTGGCATCAGGCCTCACTGGCCAGGGGCAGCGGGCAGGTGCTGGACAGAGTTCAGAGGGACTCCTCAAGACCCTCTGTGTTCGTGGGGCAGAGTGGAGGTGCAGGGCACAGGAGAGCACAGGAGTGGGAATGTGGCCATCCCGGCCCCCAGCTTTGGGCACGAAGAGCCCAGGGTGCTGGCTCTGCAGGGTGCACTGAGTGCTGAGTGTGTGGGGTGCACTGGGTGCTGGGTGCACTGGGTGCTGAGTGTGCGGGGTGAACTGGGTGCTGGATGTACTGGGTACTGTGTGCACTGGGTGCTACGTGCACTGGGTGCTGGGTGCACTGGATGCTTGGTGTGTGGGGTGCACTGGGTGCTCGGTGCGCAGGGTGCACTGGGTGCTGGATGCACTGGGTGCTCTGTGCACTGGGTGTTGGATGCTCTGGATGCTTGGTGTGCGGGGTGCACTGGGTGCTGGATCCACTAGGTGCTGGGTGTGCGGGGTGCACTGAGTGCTGGATGTGCTGGGTGCACTGGGTGCTGGGACTGCGGGGTTCTGGGTGCACTGTGTGTGTTGGTTGCTGAATGCATGGGGTGCTGGGTGTGTTGGGTGCTGGGTGCCAGGGTGAGGGAAGGCACACAGCAGCATGGTAAGGCCCTGCCACTCCCGTGGGGACGCTGGGGGACACGGCGCAGTAGCAGGACTGCCAGGTCAGGACAGGACATGCAGAGACCACGGCTCTCCCAGGCATGCTGACGGCTCTTCGGCGACGGTCACACATCCCCTGCCAGATGCCCTATTCCCACCAGACACCCCTGGACCCAGCTGACGGCTCAGCCCCAGCACCCACCACCCTGTCTCCCCTCCAAGGCGGTGCCAGGGAACAGCACCTCCATTGCCGGAGAGATGAGGTGCCAACACCAACCAGGCGCAGCAGCACTCCAAAACCAACACAAGGCACCAGACAGAGCTGCTCAGCCCCAACCGCAGCTGTAGGAACACCCTCCCAGGCTGGGTGTCAGCACCTGGGTGCCACCAGAGCACCCCGATCCCCTACATGCGGCGGCGGTGGTGGCAGCGACGGCGCCGGTGGCAGATGATCCAGGGGATGCCCCTCTGGCAGTCCGGCTGAGGTCGGTGAAGGTATGCAGGGATGGGGCCGGGTCCTTACCGGTCCGGGCTGCTGGTTGGACGGGTCGCAGGCCAGTGAGACGAGATCTTTCAGCGGGTCCTGCGGGTTGAGATGAGGCGGGTACCGAATGGCCGTGTGGGGGAAGTAGGTGGAGGCCGTCTGGGGGAGGATGGAGGTGGTGGGGAAATGCAATGCAGACGATGGGTGCGGGCTTCGAGCGATACCTGTGGGTGAGAGAGGAAAGAGGGCACCCCTCAATGTCACTGTGAGCTCCCTGCTGCCCCAGTCCCCTGCCCGCTCGCCTGCTCGCTCTGTGCCTTGGTTTCCCTGCCAGGACACTCACCGCTGTGCACTGCGATGACGGGACGGTGGTGCTGCGTGAAGCTGCTCAGCCGGGGCGAGGAGTCCTGGGGTGACGGGCTGTTGAAGGGAGACTTGTCCATCTCCGTCTTCTTCACGGTGGGGGAGATGCCTGGGGAAAACGGAGCGGAGCGTCATGCCCTGGCACCCACTGTGGGACCCCAAAGTCCCGAAGCTGCTGCCAGCCCAGCCTGCGGTTGGGGCATTTGTTCCTTGGGTGAGTGGCACCTCGGGACAGGGTGGGCAGGGGGAGGGTGCGCGGGTGCACATGTGTGTGTGTGTGCATGACTGTGTGTGTGCAGGAAGGTGTGCACGAGTGTGGGCATCTCTAGGGGTACACGTGTGTGCACACCAGCGTGCGGGTGTGCGTGAGCGTGCACACACCTGCTGAGTGCCTGTGCGTGCCTGTGAACACGTGCGGGCCAGCATGATGGTGTGCACCTTGCGTGTGTGTACATGCACACGTGTTCATGTATGGGCAGCAGCCAGAACATGTGTGTGTGCCCACGTGCACACAGCCCTGCGTGTGCCCACCCCGGGTGCAGAAGTGGGTGCTCCCAGGGGTGCCCCCATGACCCCACAGCCCCCAGTGGGCACCCACCTTCCCTGGTGTCCCGGGGGCCACATCCTGCCAGCACAAAGAGCTCCCAGGGAGGCAGAGAGGTGTGGGCCCAGGGGTGACCCCTCCATAGACCTACAGCCTTGGCCCCCAGGACCCCCAGACAGCACTGTACACCAGGGTCCCCGAGGGCCACCTCAGGGCGCAGGGCTGAGCGGGAGGGGGAGGCGAGCACCTTAATCCCCCCCACGATGGCTTTAGCTCTGACCATTTGGCCCAGCCCAGTAATGGGTTTAGCCCCTTCTCAGCCAGGGGTTAGGAGGATTTCCCAGAACATCCCGTACGGGATTGCCATAACCGCCCCAGCGCCACAGCTGAGCCCCCGACCACCCCCCCTTGCCCCTGCCGAGGATCAGGCCACCGCCGGGAAACAGGGACACCCCTGCCCGGCTCCCTCCCGCCATGCACACCTGCATGCAATGCTTCGAGAAGGGGGTTACACCCCAGGACCCTTCTGCCCTCCCACCTGCCCCTCACAGCACCAGCTCCATGGGGCCTGAGGGGTGGCAGGAGG